TTCTCGCGACACAGAAAGGGCGCGAAGACAATTTTGTCAAATATAAAAGACTAACGAGATTCGAGATTGAGTTAATTGTAATACTGTGTTCTTTTTCATTTAATATATTTAGTGAATAGTAAGATTTCGTTTTATTAGTGTTGCTGATATCAACGCAGTCAACATAGTGACATTACGTTAATGGGTATCCGTTTACCAAACTAAGAAAACCCATAGGCTGAACGGATCCATCTGTAATTTAGCAAAGATGTAGAACATGTGGAAAACATAGGCTAATAATTAAGTTTTTTTTTAGTTTCGCGCAGGCATAGTCGCGGGCGACATCTAGTTAGATATAATGAAGCAATCACTTTCAAAACTACCCACATTTTACCCACGGGAGATATAATTAGAAACACGATAGCTATGTTTTTCTATAAAAGAATATAACTTATGTTCTTTTTTAAATATAAAAAGAACAATAACACATATCAATACTCGCTATCAAGAACACTTGATTTGGTATTAATACCGCTTATGTCCGCCATATTGGAATCAATAAAAACTCTAATACCAATATCGTCAGAACTGCAATTGAACAGAATTTATATTACCTTATAAAACATTAGTTTTTTTAATTAATTACTGACTGCAGTTCTCATGATTGATTTGTGGGTTTCTGAGACCAAAATCCTCATTTCAAATATATTTTTATCTCTGTTTTTTCAAAGATTATAACAAGGATGACGAGATTTTGGCCTCAAAACCAACATTTAGTTCAATCAGGAACTACTTAACGAAATCTGTGTGTTTTTAACTTACCAAACTCATTGTTCGTTGGTGCTGTTGTACTCGGCATCAAAATTTGCCTTTCATTTTGTTCATTATTAGTATCAACAGCGATGTCGTTCAAATCAGATACAGCTCCTTCGACCGTATCATCTAACATTTGATACTTTCCATTTCTAACTTGTAAAGAATCGCTCTCTGATACTTCTACAGGTGCTGTTTCTTTATCTACACTTACTTCTACATTATCAACACCTTCAATTATCTGAGTGTCCACATCACTTACAGTTTCTTTAACTAAATCCTGTCCACTAACACTTATAGCTACAAAAATAATTAAAGCTATTTTGATTCTAACACCCATTGTTCACACTGTTTTCATTACATTATTTGAGGTCATAAGTTCTTTTTATCTAATTGATTATCGTTTTTCTATACGACAGGTGAGTTAGTATTGTGGCCAGCGACTGAATAGCAGGTACATTGTGTGCCCGTTGATATGATATTATCATTCTGTAAACACGATAAGATAGCAAATAGGAACGTTAGGTGTGCCAAATTCTTTGTCATAATCCACGTAGCTTTATTATTAGGGCTTTATATTTTTATTTAAACAATAGTCTAGTAATAACGTAAACAATTTGCTCTTAGACTATGTCAGTTTTACATTTCGGTTAATTTTAAGTACTAGGATCCCATAGATTAGTAGGTTAAGCTAGATATTAAGAATGGAACTAATTTAATATTATGATTCATTGTTCACCTTATATCAGACTTAATAGTATGTAGATGTATGATTGTTGAAGCGAGAGAGGAGTGTGTTGTAATCTTACTTCTTACTAATATTATAAATGCGAATGTTTAGATGGATGTTTGTTTGCAGGTATCTCCAGAGCAGTTGAACGAATCTTGATGAAGTTTGGAATATATATAGAACATAGTCTGAAAGAACACATATGCTACTAACAATTTTTTTTATTCCGCGTGGACGGTGTCGCGGGCAACTGCTAGTAGTATCTAAATTGTCTACCACTGAAGGTGACAAAATATTGTAAAAAGTACGAAGTCAAATAATCATAAAGCAAACAACTGATGAATTAACCGACAAGCATTGATCAATCTTTATAATTCAAGAGAGAACTCGGTAAAATTGTAGAAATTGTAATTCAGAAATGACTTCGTTTTAATAAACAAGACCTTTCTCATACCTTTTATCTTTGACTAACTGTCGCCCCAGACTTCGTCCGCTCGAAGTAAAAAAAACTTAATAATTTGCCTATGTGTTCCAGGCTATGTTCTACATCTATGCCAAACTTCATCGAGATTCGTTCAACCGCTCGAAAGATACCTTCAAACAAACATCCATCTAAACATCCGCATTTATAATATTAGTAAGATTGGAATAACATTACGCGAAATTAATTTGTATTTTAATTCATATTGATTTAAAATAACCGAGTTGCAGCAATCTTGTTTATCTGATAATCGTTCATTTCATGATACATTGGTTTTATTCAACGAAAACACTTATCAAGTATTTTAAGTATTAGTAATGATTTGATTATATATTCTATTCCAATGGGATTAGGTTTATTTTCTCTTGCATTTATTTAGGTTACACAAAGTTACTATACAGGCGATGACTAAACACGTTGTTTTTCAGTAAAACAAGGTTCCTGTTAGCAATTTATTAGTCATTGTTTTCTATGAAAAGGGTTTCTAATTATTCTGAAATAAGAATGATATTGTTTGACTTTCGTTTGCACTTTTAGTTATATACTAGCTGACGCCCGCAACTCCGTCCGCGCGGAATAAAGAAAAACATAATTAATAGCCTATGTGTTCTTCCAGACTATGTGCTACATCTATGCAAAATTTCATCGAGATGCGTTAAGCCGTTCTGGACATACTTTCGAACATACATCCATCCATTTAAACATTCGCATTTATTAGTAAGATAGTAAGAAGTAAGATTAGTAAGACTTGGGAAAGTTAGTAAATATTTGTCTTGTAGTAGCAGTTGATACTTTACTAACTTTAATCTTAAGTAAAAAAAATTACATGTCATACGACTTAGTTCTAAAAGCATTGTAAGTTAGTTGGTTAGTTTTGTTAGGTTTGTCGTTAGAATTTTGTCATATTTATTTGTGGTCAGCTCGCTTGTTAAATCATGTTAAAGCTATCAGGTCTTGGTGCTTAACAGACCAATATTTAAGTTAAATAATACAAAATCAAAAACAATTATGTACTTACTCTGTTAAACTCATTAGAACTGGCCGTCTACGTAAAAGACGATAAAATTAAGCGCCTGCAAGTATATTATAGCAATTTACTTTTAAGTTAATATTGCTTCTTAATTTTTTATATTGATATTTAAATATTTACCTTAAAATAGTTATGACGATCAAAATCTGAGAGTCGCAGTAATACAACTGCGTATTAAAACAACGTGATTCAATTAACTTGTTTGTGATATTTCTGTTTACAATACAAAAGTTATTTTGTATCGAGAGTACAAGATAGTGAAATGATTTAGTACCGATTCATACGTAAATCATTTTACAATGTTATTAATTTATGATGACATTTAAACTAAAGGTTAGTATAAATTTAATACTGCTGATAGTCAATAAGAAACCCTTAGTGTACGCTTAGTATGTAAATACAACACTAAAGTAAATACTTTAGTAATTATTAAACGTCTACGCGTACCCCAGCTATATCTTGATACCTTATTATCTTACTAATATTATAAATGCGAATGTTTAGATGTACGTTATTAAAGGTATATTCAAAACAGCTTTATAGATCTTGATTAAATTTGACATAGATGTAGAATTTAGTCTGAAAGAACACATAGGCTACTTTTTTTTCAGAGGGGAATGCTTTATGCATACTCCGCGCCCCGGGGGGGGGGACGCAGTAGTTATGTGGGATTCTCCTCCATAGCGGAAGCATACCCACTAAACCCCTCTGTTGGGGACCACGGGCACGCTTTCGCTCTCGTCCGCGGCCCAACACATAAGCTACTACTAATTAAGTTGTTTTTGTAATCCCGGGCATTCAATGGCAAGTATTTGTTACTGTCTACCCGAGTGTAGTCGCGTGCAAAGCTAGTGTACAAATAAACGTGAACAGAGTAGAATATCGATAAAATATAATTAATTTCATGATAATCGACAACAGTCTTTATATAAAAGGACATTTTAATGGTACATTTCTTATCATGTTTACAGTATTGTTTAATTACACTTAAGATACAGCAACAAGGGTCCACATTGTTTAAAATTAAACACTGATTTTGCCAATTTCCTTTACAAACATTCACATTTCTGGAAAACCAATAACTTTGAAGTCCATTGCGTGTTTTGTTGGACAGATGAACTTTTATATTGATGTAATATCAGCAATGTATGCAATGTAATGATTTGCAATCGTTTTTTGAAGTGCATTTTGCGTGCATGCACATTTACATTCATTTAGTACGTTCGGATATTCATATGAAGATTTTACATTTTTGAATATTAATTCGTTATACATGAACATTTAATTTATTATTGTGGGCGTAGTACGAATATTAAATCTCATACAAATTTTGATGTAATTGACGATGACATTAAGAAGTTGATTGTCACAAATATTCGTACTAGACCCACTGAATCGAACTTCATAGTCCCTTGAAGTAAAAAATATAATGATAAAGAAACTTCTCTAAGACTGGTATCCTTGGAACATTCTACTAAAGTTAACAATCCAATCAATAAGTAATGGTAGGGGACAAATATACAATTGGTTTTTTAAAATATATGAAAAATTGTTCAGCCACCTAAAATTGCATATTATTTTCACAAAAATGAAGGGAAAACAATGAAACATATCGTCATCTCTGTCTTTCAAAGAAAATGAAAGTGATGACCATATTTCTGCACATTAATCAAAGGATTAAAAGTCGATTATTAAATTAGATAATTTACCATCTATCACTGGCGACTACGTCCGTACGGATTTAAAAAAAAAACATAATAAGTAGCCTATGTGTTCTTACAATGTCCTACATGTATGCCAAATTTTAGCGAGAACTGTGCAGCTGTTCTGGATATCTTCAAACAAACATCGATCCATCTAAACATAATTTAAAATAGTAATACTAAATAAGAGTTAATTTAAAATTTTATTAAATTTTATGTGTGTATCCGAACGTAACGTACTAAGTTAAATTTACCACAGTCTGCATACCGTGGTATAAATTGACCAGCTCGACTCTTACTTTTCATACGACAAGACGTGTGCATACGCAATTTATTTCTTTGGAATATTTTGATATAAATCATTGAAAATGCCTTGCGGAGGTTGCGGCGATAGTAAGTATAATGTTTTATTATGTTTATTTATGTTTTATATAAATAATATTTAAAGAAATACATTGATACATTGTGAAAGTTATTATACATATATAAATTATAGAAAGAGTTTTTTTTTAATATTTTAAAGGCATTACAATTTACATTATGAAATTGTTGACAGCAAAAAATTATTTTGATTTATTTTGGTTTTAATTCTTCTTTGGTCTTTAATTTTATTTCATTAAATAAAACTATTTGAAATATTATGTAATTGTATTTAATTTTGATATTATTTTGCAAATTACTTGCAACACCACGCAATTATTTACAATGTTCACTTTTAATTTTTTTTTAATTTATTTGGTTTTATTAAAATTGAAAGTTTAGTGTTTTTCTGAAATTCACATAAGTATGTGAAGTACTTGTCAAACAAAACCAACATCTTAAAAAAATCTCCAACCCTTTGTCATATTTTTCTCGAAATCTTGGTTATTGAAAATTTTATGTCATTACGTTTATATTCATAAATAACCTTATTTTACAAAGATTAATAGATCTATAGATACTAATTCAACAGATTAATTTATATCATTTTATATTTTAATTAAATTCAAACGTCTAGAAACTAAGTTGAAAAATTTAAATAAAACATTTGAAACTTTATTATAGCTTATATGAGTTTATGAACGACCGTTTAAGATTCGCGTTTAGAAACTTTATTCCACTTTTAAGTACAAAATGAAGAATAATGGCGTATACGTATTTTCTAGAAACGTTTTATCACGATGCCCTACAAGCCTATAGACTTATACGATTATAAGCAAAATTTAGGATCTAGTGACTAAGTTACTTTTTCTTAATTTTATGAATCTGCTTCTTGCCAGTATAAAACGACTAAAAAGGTTTCAATTTCAAAGACGCATTACCTTTTTGCTCCATTTCTCTGGAACTGCGCAGTAAAATGGATTCTTTTTTTGTAACCTGCCAGCTACAACCACTAATTAAGGCTTGTGGTTTATTTTTAAACGTGTCTCACCATAACTTGGTTGTTTGTTTTATTTTTGTTTGTTTCTCATGGCTTTCATGGCTTAAGTTAAATTCCACTGATGTTTATAAAAATCACAACCTTAAAGTCCTCTTTATATTATAAACTAAAAACAGATGTGTTAGGATTTATTTATTTTTGGAAGTGGTAGAATATTTAAGGATTAATTTCAGTGTATTATTTAAAAATAGTCGGATTGTTTCATATATCTAAGCATGCATCTTAGCTGATGGCATAGCATTAACTATCCAGAAACTTGTATAAAAACATGTTTCTATGTCGTTTCAAACAGTGGAAACTCTCCGTAAACTTCACCCTTATCAGTATATTTATTACTAATCATACATCTTACTAATATAAATGCGAAAGTTTAGATGGATGGATGTTTGTTTGAAATCTCCGGAACGGCTCAATGAATCTTGATGAAATTTTGCAGATATGTAGAACATAATCTGGATGAAGATATAGGGTACTAATTAAGGTTTATTAAAATTCCGTGCGGACGGAGTCGCGGACGACAGCTAGTTTATTTATACAGTCGTGTGACTTTATAATTATAAATGCTTGTCTGAACCTTATACGAAATACTTGTTAGTTTTTAAAAATTCAGACAGGTGGCGTGACAGGTCCGGGAATAAAGTCAAGGTCATGTGAATACAGTAGAGTCCTTTAGGTCTTGGAATTTATACTACTTTTTATTATATGGTACAGTTCAATGCAAGTCAATCATTGTCCTTGATTGTACAGTCGCGTACAGAATTAATTATTATTTTAATTGATTTAAAGTTGACAAAATAATACGCATTTTAAGGAACCTATAGTTTTCACTTGTGATGTTTTTTTTATTATAAGGAGAATCACCAGTACTAAGTTTCTAAAAAAAATTGGGATGTTGACAATTTAACATAACCTAAGACAAGGTCACCTTTAAGGATGTTATCTTTTAGTCGTGGAGTACTTTTTTAACTTTCATATCAACTCTGATACTTAGTAATCTCACGTAGAAGAGTGATTTGTTTGTTAGTAATCGATAAAGTATTTTAATACTCAATATTAAAAAGCTTATTAATTAGATTCCTTTATTTAATAACAACGTTAGCTAATTATTGAATTATTTAAGCAACGTACAATATTCCGAACTCCACACATAACGATTTCAATAGTAATTTAGAGTAGGCCTAGTATATTTGTGAACCGCTGTCGTATTGTCATTGACAATTATGTCAAAACTAGGTGTCATCTGCGACTCCGTCCACGCGGAATTAAACAAATATTAATTAGTAGTAAATATAATTAGTAGTACTTTGTGTTATTCCACACCGTGTTCTACATCTATGCAAAATTTCAGGGAGTTGTAAACAGCCGTTCTGAAGATACCTTCAAACAAACATCCATCCATCTAAACATTCGCATTAGTATTAATAAGATTGGTATGAGATTTTTGGTGTACTTTATACACAAACTAGCTGTCGCCCGTGACTCCGTCCGCGCAGAATATATTTTACATCTGTGCCAAATTTCAGCGAGATCCGTACAGCCGTTCTTTAGATACACCCATCTAAACATTTGCATTTATAATATTAGTAAGAAGTATGATATTATAACGAATTGTGTCGATGACGATACAATGGCGATTGTAACAAATGTACGTGCTAGGCCCACAGTTTTTCGCATGTTTTTCATTAATTAATATAAATTCATAATTAATTTATCTCAAGGTATAGTTATTTATCAGAATAAGTCACGAACGGTATCTTCAGTAAATTATACGTTACGTGACTTATGTATTAGAATTGCTGATTCAACATTGATGCTTGTAAATGTAAAACTTATATATAATATTATAGTCAATAATAAAGATGTTCAGTAAATAAATAGCATAATGTTTAGTTAAGCTGCTTGTTTCATCGTTTAATTAAATTACCAGCCGGCAACGCATCTGCGGTTCCTCTGGTATTGCTGATGTCCATGAGCGTCATAAACACCTCGGTGTTCCCGTTGCTCGTTTGCTCCCTTCTGTTATAAAAAATGAGAAATATTTAAAGTGTTGGTACTATAGAAAAATTGTGTTATTGTAAAGAATTTCTAATTGGATGTTTTAGTTTTTTTATAATCAAGACACGCATGTTCCTACGTCATCTTACCCGTTACTAATATTATAAATGCGAATATTTAAATGGATTGATGGATGGATGTTTGTTTGAAGGTATCTCCGGAATATCTCAACGGATCTGGCTGACTGGCATAGATGTAGAACATAGTCTGGAAGAACACATAGGCCTTATTGTTTTTAAAATCCGCACGGACGGAGTTAAGGGCGACATCTAGTAGTGAAATAAATAATAATCGAAGTAACATAACCTAAAATTCAAAATATAATTTGCACATAAATCATTCAAAAAAACACTTAAAGGTATATTTTAACGTTTGTTTTTGCACATAATTTAATATTTTATGTACTAATTGTTCAAATTATTGCCAATTAGATGATTTTCAACCGTGCCAAGGTGTGTAGCGTTTTCCTTTCTGTATCATTGTTGCCAAAACACGTAACGGCATTGTTGTTAAACAAAAGAGGTACAATCGAACACACAAGTTTGTGTCAGAATATTTTAAACGTTTGTAACTAGTTAATTCATCTTTCTCTTCTTGTTTTGCAAATGTCCTTATGCGTCGTGTACCTCGTTTTTCACGTCGTTTGCTTACCCCTTTTCTCTTGTAAAAAAAAGCTTGCACTACACATCAATCAACTTGTAATGTATATTGCTATCTCATTTATTTCAAGGTGAATGAGTGAGATATATTAATGTAGTTTCAAGTGCATTGCATATAACTGCAATTACGTTGTTTTCGATATCAAAATAAACATTACACTGTACCCATTGTCCTGTCTCGGATGTTTCTAGAATGTTTTTATCTGTTTACAATTAATATTTTACGACGCATAAACTTTTGTGAACATCAACATATCGATAAATTACTGATATGTCTTCTCTTGTTATTGACAAAATGGTATTTCGATCCTTATTATTGTAAACTAGCTGTCGCCCGCATCTCCTTCCGAGCGGAATTAAAAATAAATTAATAAGTAACCTATATGTTCTTCCAGACTATGTTTTACAATTAGACACACATCTTACTTATATTATAAATGCAAATGTTTAGATGGATGGATGAATGTTTGTTTAAAAGTATATTCAGAGGCTGAACAGTTCTCGATGAAATTTGACACAAATGTAGACTGGAAGAACACATAGGCTACTAATTAAGATTTTTTGTTTTTAATTGCGCGCGGATCAAGTATTTGGTGACAGCTACTTATTTCATAGACACACATGGTATATAAATCTCAAATCAACCAAAAAGTTTTTACTCATTTTTTTATTATTTTAGACTGCAAATGCACCAGCAGCCAATGCTGCCAGACTTGCAAGTGCGATGCCTCTTGCTCCTGCAATTGCAAGAGGACCACCGGACCCGATACTGGCTCGACTACTACCAAGAAGTAGTTTGTCATTAAATGACAATTAAACTACATTCATCATTAATTGTCATTCATTACACACTCATCATTAAATTGTGATAATCATTATTTTGGTTATTATAATGTTTTTATATCCTTGCATTTGATTCATATAAGTTTAAGGATTTTTTTCGATATTTTCTTTATCTGGTTATTTTCGAAACCAATGATGATAATAAAAGCAGAAAATTTGCCATTTCGTATTCAGAATTAAATAAGTTTTGTGAATTTTAACTTCAAAATACCCATTGTCTTAATGCATTTCGTTTTTAGTATCGTTTGACTGATTCTGCATTTTGTATTTTCTAGAATTTTCTAACATATGTATTTACGTGTTATCAGTCTTGTTAAGAATAACTGCTTACTTCATAACAATGTATGTATTAAATTTTACAAATAAATAAATAATTATATCAGTTCCAGTCTTTATTTATAGCATTTTGTTCCTTTATTGTTCAATTTTATGCATTAATTTAAAAACAATAAGACATGCATTTTAATGTTTTAACTCGATTTAAATTGTAACACAGAACAGATTCCTTTCCCACGATGATTACCAACAGCTATCGCGAACAGCCACGGAATTACGTCTCTGATGCATATTCTGTTTAATCCATAGACACCCTTTGATATAGAATTACTAGCTGTAGCCCGCGATTCCGTCTAGAAGGAATTAAAAGAAAATTAAATTAGTAAACTATGCGAGACACCTTATAACAAACAAACATCTAAACATCCGCATTTATAATATTAGTAAGATATTCCAAGAATGTTATGATTCGTTTACGTCAGAGTTGTAAGAACACAATTAGACAGGTGTGGTTATTGTAAAAATATTTACCTAGTTAATCATTGTATTGAGTAACAATAAACTCGATAGTTAAATTAATTTATTAATGTTGTGTCTTTTTGATGATCTGTAAATCTTGCTAATATTATAAATGCGAATGTTTCGATGGATGTTTATTAAGAAGGTATATATAAAACGACTCAACGGTCATCGCAGAAATTTGGCGTAGATGTAGAACATAGTCTAGAAGAACACATAGGTTACACACTTATTAAGTTTCTTTTTAATTTCGCGCCGTTTGAGTCGGTTATTACACCTGTGTCATAAGCACTATAATTTGTGTTATACATTTTCGGTACAAGAGTTTTTTTGTGTTTATAAAAGGACTAAAGCTATTAAATTTACGTTTACTTTGATATAAAATATCAATCTGTTGCATACGACAATTTTTATCAAGTTAATCTCTTAATTAAAACAAAGAGTTTGTTAAAAAGTGACAATTTAAACAGTTAAGTTAACCTAAGTTAAAGTTAAGTTAACCTTAAAATTAAAGTACAGTTAGTTGTATACTTAAAAACATTACACACTTCAATAATCACGTCAAATTGAAGATAAAAACAAATGCATTCAGTTAAATTAATCAATGGAACCGAATACAAGAAAAACATCTTCAAAGTAACTCACCCTTGAAGTTTTCTTATGCGAATCTTAAAAGATATATATACAGTAGGTTCACAATTCGTGTCAGATTATCAACAACCATTGTATTTATTTGTATGAATTGAGTGATTTTTCTTAAAACAAAATGCCAGCACCCTGTGAACCTTGTAAAGGTAAGCATATCTCTACTAAGTATATTAGCTGTCGCCCGAGACTTTATTCGCGTGGTATTAGGAAAAACTTAGTAGCCTACGTGCTCTTCCAGACTATGTTCAACATCTATAAGACATAGATTTTTTTATCCGTTTAGATCCGTTGAACCGTTCTGGAATTATCTTTTAACATTCCATCTAAACTTTCACATTTATAATATTAGTAAGATTATTCAATTCTCAATATATTGCGAAATAAGAAAGATCTTGTGATTTCTTTTTGATTAATGTTACTAATATTATAAATGCGAATGTTTAGATGGATGTTTGTTTGAAAATATCTTCTGGAGGTCTGCATGGATCTAGCTAGAAATTTGGTATAGATGTAGAACATAACCTGGAAGAACAAATAGGCTAATTAAGTTTTTTTTTAATTCCGAGCGGACGAAGTCGTGGGCGACAGCTTCTTATGCATAAGATTTTTTTTATATTTGAATACTTAAATATCGTAATTTTTTTTTAATTGATCAATGTAGTATCCTGTTTTATGTCAATTTCCTTATTCAGATACGTGCAACGATGATGCGTGTAATGATGAATGCAATTGTGAAGTAAATTGTGATGATTGTTCTGCAAAAGGTAATTTTTTTAATTTATCTTATGGTATTTTTAGTAAAGATTTGAAATAACTTACCAATTATTTACCATACCATATTATTTAGTTTTATTTTTAGTTTGGTTTAGTTTTAGTATATAGTTTAATAGTATTATTTTGGTAGATTAATTAATTAGTTACTTAATTATTAATATAGAATTAATCACTTACCAAAGATTTATTTTTTTTCAGGAAAATGCTGTTAAAAGATTTTCTATGATGACGTTATATTGAACTATGTTTTAAAACAATGTGTTTAAACATGAAATGTTAAAACTTCTGAATAATAAATGAAAAATACTTAATATATATTTGTTTTTTTTTTTACATTTAATCTACAGATTGTGGAGGTTTTTTTTTTAATAACTTTAGTTTAAATCCCAATTTAAACTGAAATAATACTTCATCCCTTCCATTGTCTTAAATAAAATTAGAGTAAAATGGATTTTAAACACATGTGTTAAACGCAGCAGAATTTCTCAAAGGCTGTGTTACGAAGAATTTAGTTTTTAATTAATTAGTTAATTTTATATGTATCTTATATATAAAATTCTCGTGTCATAATGTTAGTTATCATACTCCTCCAAAACGGTTTGACCGATTATTACGAAATTATATATGCATATTCAGTAGCTATGAGAATCGACTACTATCTACTTTTTAATCCCGCGCGAACGGAGTCGCGGGCGACAGCTACTAACTATATAGCGTCAACAGCCTAATTAATAATATAATAATAATTAATAAAAGGGTACGGATTTCCGATCACGAGGTCGGGGGATCGAATCCCTCTATTCGACTATTGTCGTAAACCATATCCTAGCACAAGCCTAAAGCTTAGTTGGAATGGTTAAAGAAATATTAGTAAATGTACAAAAAATCTGGTAATATTTTTCTTTTAAAAAAAAATAATTAATACTAGAAATGTGGTTATATAAATTCGACTACTGATAGAATACTCCGGTGAAGAATACGAATTAAATGAGAAACAATTTAACATTTATAAACCAGTTTAGGCTTGAGAAAGTCATAATTATGAGGACATACTCGCACAACATTTAACAGAGGTAGAGGCCGCTTTAACATCTTCGCACGAATTGTCCCGGCTCGCCCGGTGAAATACCACGACCACACAGAAGACAGGCGAGAAGTGGAAGCTATTCCGCGTTTCGTCTGATGAGTGTGTCCCGGAGGCTTAATTTAGTCTTCTTTTCCTTATAAGGAAAGATGGGAAGTGGAAGTGGACTTTCCGGATGAGAGCATGCATGGAAAGGGAAAATATTTTCTCTCTGTGCATCCTCTTCTCCGTCGATCAAAGGTAGGCAACGCATATGCAATTGCGTATGTCTATGGGCAACGGTCATTTCGCTATTTCTGCGATTTCAGCTGGCCGCTCGCTCGTTTGCCACCTTATGATATAAAAAAAATTACAGCAAAAAAGCTTTGTAACTGTAATCTATACATAATGAAATTGGAGTGTCTGTATATAGAATTTATATAGAAAAATAAATCACATTTCGTGCACATGATGTATTTACGTTGATGATAACCAATAACATTTTTTTAAATAATTTTCAATATAACACAACTTTATAAATGATGGATTCGATGGTTCGTAATTTGTACAAAATTTTCTTGTAATTTCTTTTTTTTTTTTACTTTATAAAATTTTATTCTTACATTAGAACACTCGGAAACTACTCGTCAGTTTTCCCATTTCCTAATTAATAAGGAGTACTTTTGGATGCCCCCTCATGCCTCAAATCTATCCTAGATGTTGTTGGCTGATCTACCCTAGAGCTGGTCGGTAGGGGTTCTAAGAAGAGATAAAAAATAATTATGTCATCTAACAGGAAATGAAGTCTAAAATAATGATAGAACGATTTAAAGATCTTAAAACTGTTCTGTCAGATAGAGTGGGATAAGAAGAGATGTTGATGTTTAGGTTTGATATTAAAAGACAATAAGTTTAAATCAACATAACATTTATATGAAGCAATAAAACAATACAATAGTTATGAGAAAGACGACTGTAAATGAGACAGGGAAGCATGTTTCAAGCACGGCACTAACGCGAGAGAACAGTGAGGGCCGCCGACGAGCGCGTACTACGTCCATTGTCACTAACAGCAACCACCTGTAACAAAATTATACTAATATTATAAATGCGAATGTCTGGATGAGTGGATGTTTGTTTGAATATGTCTCGAGAATGGTTGTATGGATCTCGGTGAAATTCGGTATAGATGTAGAATATAATCTGGAAGAATACATAGGCTGCTTATTAAGTCTTTTTTTAATACCCCGCGGGCGGAGTCGCAGGCGATAGATAGCAATATATAACTGTTTGTTAATTACAAGCCTAAAAAACCCGTATATCCTTCTGACACTGGGAAGAATAGAAATCGAACAACTCCTCAAAATGTTTTCAATCGGTTATGCAGAACGGTGTTGAAATATACATACAATCCCCCAAAAAACATTACTGCTTTATCCAACTGACAAGTAAAAAGTCTCTGGAATGCTTTGAGAAAATACTGTTTCAGTAGTTCTTGCATTTGCGGGCACTGCCGTGCGCCCAATCAATAAAATGATCGGTATATGTGGACATCCTGTAGTTTTTGTCGATGCAAGCCTATATTCTGTCTCCCTATTCCATGCAAGCATTATTGGAATGTGCGGACTGACCTGTAAAGTACGCTCCCAGTTATCGAGCTGGCTGGCTTACTAGTTTCAATAGAGACATGCCGGTCGTATGCTACCGCTAATTCGAGCGCTACTGGTTTATTGAGCTGACTTAATTTAACCGAGTATTACATAAATGTGCTTACCTTTAGAAGTGCAGTCGTCACAACCCTTGTCCTTGCATGTGCAGTTGTCCTCGCAGTTCCCGTCTTTACATGTATCTATAAACATAATATTTGGGTTAATTTCTATCGAATGGTAACATATCACAATAAAAGTTTTTGATAATCGAAAGAAAAACAATAAAAGAAATTGTGGACAAGAAGTATTACAGTATTATAATACTTCATGAATAAGCAATTTAATTAATTTTAAAGATCAGATTTTAACTTCATAGAGAAATAACTTTGTGTTAAAGGATCCAATTATTTCGCTAAACAAAAGAAATCCAATCTCGTATAAAACTTGAACAAGCAGAATAACGAATAGGTTATCTTAGATTCGTATTTCATCTCTTATACTTGACAATCAGAATTACAATAAAGCGATTTGGGGTCGATTTTTTATATTATTTAGTTTGGTTTAGTTTTAGTATATAGTTTATAGTATTATTTTGGTAGATTAATTTTAATTTAATTATTCACTTAATAATTAATATAGTGTTAAGTAATTCAATAATAAGTTTATGTAAATATATATTTTTAAATTATTATATTTTTCAATTGCTAAATAGTTATAGTTATAGTTTCGTTACATGTTATATAATATATTCATTACATTAAATAGTCCACAATGTTATAGTAGTTTTATACAACAATAAAGCTTATTACCTTTGCAGGGTTCGCAAGGAGAAGGCATGTTTACTATCAGTTGACTGCAACAATATCAAACTATACCGCCACAAAATCAACGCCATAATTTATACCACAGACGTCTTGCAAAAAGTTTAGAGTAAAATCTAGAACAAGGCTGTCATCGGACACAAAACATCTTGTTCATATTTTGTACAATGGAAGTGTTTCCGTTCATTAGGAAAAAATGAATGAAGTAGATTAAATTGACGTAATCCGATTAAAAAAACCTTTGATTTATTTTATCAATCTATCATCATCAGCCTACTATAGGTCCCCACTGTATGGCTAGGAGCCTACCCTAAGTAAGGGATTGGCCATAATATACTCTATATGTTAAATTTTTGGTATGTTACAAATAAACTCAAAAACTACTCGACCGATTTCAAAAATTCTTTGTCCATTAGAAAGCTCTATTATCACTGAGTAACATAGGCTATATTAATTATAACTAGAGCTTTGTAAACAAGAATTAACAACGTATTTCTGAATTACATAAATGTGCCTTTTTAGCTTATGTAGGCTTGACCGTTAGAGTTATATTAAATGGTGTTAGAGAGACTTGTAGATCTCAAAAAGTGCTATAAGAATGCAAGTATTACTTAAGTAACATAACTTATGATTAATGTAAGTAGTTCTAAAAGTTAAATAATAACTTTACAAAGTACTGGAACACTTTTTATATAGTAATTTAAACAGTTTGTTTCCGCACGTTTACGTCGGATGATCTGTGCTCTGTGCTTGTCGATTTCCGTACTTTTTACTCAACAACCTTCATTGTTGTATTACGAATTATATTTATATTGATGATAAATTTAACATTATCATTCGGAAGTGGATCACCAGCGCAGCAAATATGGCGACCGTCTGTGAAACAATACAAGGTAAGTTTAAAAATATTATATTAAAATAAGCCTATATTATGAAAAAGGTAGTAATAAAATAATAATCTATGATTCTCTTAGCTGAGACAGTAAAAGAAATTGAGGGTAATTGTAGAAGATTCATTTCCGTAAGGAAATTATGTTCTTTCCATAATTATGTTAGTATGGTTACTAAAACTTTAATAACGCCTGTAAAAATTTATATAGCAATTTCTCTAATAAATAAAAAAATATTTAATTAAAAATATTTGCCTTTACTTTTTGTTAGTTCTATGTAGTAACAAAATATTTTAAATAATAGGAAAAATAACGTCTTCAATAAGTTTAAACAATTATAATTCTTTTATGTATTTATTTACAGAAACCATAACACAACATAGTTGCAAACCAAATTGTAAATGCGAGCAAGAAACATGCCCACCGGACTGTTCCTGCAAGATAGAAAGTTCTAGAGCCAGAATATATCGCCTGTCTTTTAACGTATTGGGAGTTTTGGTCGCCATATTTGCTACTTACATGATTATAAACTCAGACTCCAAATTATATTTAATTTTCTGGGTTGTCTACTCTGTTTTAAGACGAATGATGTTAAAAACAAAAGGAACTCATGGAAATGCAACGAAAAAGTTAATTTAGCAAAGTCGCCCGCAACTTAATAATAAAAAATAGTAATAAATGTAGCTAGCCCGAGGATAAGCGTAGCTTCCCAACAATGACAGAATTTTTCAAATCGGTTCAATTGTTTCGGAGCCTGTATAATACAAATAAACAAATCTTTCTTATTTATTATATTAGCACCTATAGGTTATTTAGTTGGTTTTGTCTATACTTTTACTCGGTTTGTACCTGACTTATTATTATGATACACCTGAAATTTTTAAATATTAGTTTTCGGTGACTGGAAGCAGTATTTATTTTATTTGTAATTTTTTTTTCTTCCACGTGTTTTATTTGCTATCTTTAGATTTTATTTTTCTATTTTCTTGACTGATATTTAATCTAGTAATAATGAATGTCTAATTTATTTATTTAATAAAATAATAATTTTAAATGTATGCAACACTGTGTTTAATTGTATTTATCGAAATTATATTACTTTTTAAAGCAATTTTCTGAATTTTATACGTTTAAGGTAAATTTAATTGTTCAAAAAGCCTTAACTGATGAAGTAATTTATTGATAACTTAATTAAGATAGTGTAAATTAACTACCCGTAGAACCTCCCTTACTAGTCGTTTAAAGTCTCAGAGTGTGGCAGTTAGTTACCTGTTTATAATAATAATAATGTCTATAAGTTTCCAATTTGCGGTTGCGATAGAATTCTATTAATGTCTAACAGTGCGCCATGACACCACATTACGACCGAGTGCACTGCACTACCGGCCCTAGGGCTGACACACAAAAACAGTACAGAATTATAACATAATTTATCGTTTTACTTCATCATAAAGATCAATCTCTCTTAAATACAAATAACAGTGGTAGAGCCCGCTTTAACATCTTGGCACGAATCGGCCCGGCTAGCTCTGTGAAATACCACGACCACACAGAAGACAGGCGTCAAGTGGAAGCTATTCCACGTTTCGTCAGATAAGTGTGCGTCCCGGAGGCCTAATTTAATCCACTTTCCCTTCCCACCCTTTTTCTCATAAAGAAAGGGATGGGAAGTGGAAGTGGACTTTCCGGATGAGAGGATGCATGGAAGGAGAAAATGTTTTCATTCTGTGCATCCACTCCTCCGTTGATTAAAGGTCAGCAACGCATATGCAATTGCGTATGTCTATGGGCAACGGTCACTTCGCTATTTTAGCGATTTTAGGTGACCGCTCGCTCGTTTGCCACTTTATGATATAAAAAAAATACATCTTAAATATGCTACTGTTTGTACGGATCTTGAAACACACAAAAGACAATAGCGAGAAAGTTGTAGGATCGCATCAAATCTCTGCTTACCTCTCTGGGTTAGGGGCGTGATTGTTGTGTGATTAATAAAAGCTTACAATGTTTAAAGTTTTTACGGGAATTAGAATTACGATTATTCCTTTTGTATCAACCCTAATAAATGTCAATAACTCTATCAAACAAGTCTATCTGTTGGTTCCATTATCGAAACACCTTCACAAAACATATTGTTATCTCGGGTTTTTTAATGAGAACGAGAGGGACGACGTATTTTGTATAGGTTTTCCGGCAATGGAAACATAAGGTGATTATATCAAATACAATGTAATTTGTGTTTGCGAATGGAAAGGTTGAGTGCACGAAGTTGTTATTTTAGCAATGTTGCGTCATAAAATAGTTAAGTTCATATAATTTATATGAAGTATTAGTTACTTAATACATACTTATGGTAGGTTTCTGCGATCAAAATCTCCGTTTAACGTGTATTGTTATCTCTGTTTTGTCGAAGATGACAGGGATGTTTTATGGAGATTATGGTCTCTGAAACCCACGATAAGTGGGTGATATACAATCTTCTTTTTATCTTAAGGTAATAAAGTATTTTGTCTTTAACTTTCAACAAGGAAAACTAAGATAAAATTTGCAAATATTGTAAATTAAAAAAAAAACGTACAACCAATTTGGGAATCTAATTAGAATAATACTTCAAACGCTTTGCCATCCGGTCATTGGATAACAATGAAATTACGAATCTTATTTTTTTATTATAAAAATGGCCCCAAGTCAACTCCAGTTCCACTCCGATGAGTTCCAAGGTCGCCACTGACGATAAGTTCCTTGCTCGTTGCCAGTGATTCATTTTGCCATAAAAAAGTTTTTAATAGCGATTATGCTGTTTGTAAACAAAAAAACTATATTGTGTCTAAGATAGATTAGACAACTGACGCATATAAAATATAGAATTAATTTTGTATGAGGATTAATGTTGTACTTTTTGGACGGTTGTTATAGTGTCGGACCGTACTCGCATTACGAACAACTATGAATTATCGAGAATCGGTCTTATGATTAATCGAACATTTCTTCGATATGTTTAAGGTTGGTCAAGGTTGCGGGAGTGCACTAGATGGGTCCACGGACCTGCTCGGTTGTCCAGGTGGGCGGAGAGGTGAACTCCGACGTGGCGCGTCCCCAGGTGGTGGATAGGGGAACGCCCCGGCATTCGTGTCGGGGTAGGGCGCAAGCCCCGCGAACCAAACACCAGGGTCTGGCGGTGCGCGCAGGACTAGTCGACGAGGTGTCGATAGGTCTAGCGCGCTAGCCGGACCCGGGGCCTGGTGGAGCGCGCAGGACTAGTCGATGGTGTCCCGACAGGTCTAGCGCGCTAGCCGGGCCCCCAACCGGTGGAGGCGCCGGAGGTGGACGAATGTCTGCCCCCCCCTGCATCCCTCGTGGCCGTGGACGTGTGGAGGCCGCGAGGGCTGTGGGAGGGTACTGGTTTATCCTGCCCACCCGCAGCTCTCGTGGTCTGACGTGAGGGTCCGACGTAGCGGACGGTCGCCGGCTGGGTCGCGGAGGAGTGCTCACGCGTACCCGTAACCCGGCCATATGGCGATGAGGAGGGCTAGAGGGGTTTTAGTGGGTATGGCCGAACGACTGTAGGCGAGTCCCACACTCCCTGCGCCATTGCACACTGGCCCGGCGCAGGGGTGCGGAAGTGCATTTCCCCTCGTTAAAAAAAAAAAAAAAAAAGTGCACTAGATGGGTCGGCACAGGACCGGGCATTGTGGCAATCGATGGGGGAGGCCTACGTCTACGTGGACAAATTTAAGCTGATAATGAAGAAGTTTAATATTAATTTTCGATTGCAAGTTGTATGAGCCATGGAAAATCTAAAATTTTCATAGCCAATTTTACTCAACCCATCTCTAGTGAATTGTCAAACTAGTCTATCTTAAATAGACACTCTCAAAAGTCAATGTCCAGCAAAAGTTGATATACTTTTAAAATGTATCTTTGGCACTTCATTCAGAAATGATATTTGGTCGCTTAAAGTAACCTTAAAGGTAGATCTAGCATCAAAGTACCACACTAAGGGAGGGTTAATTAGCATTTCAAAAGAAACAAAGGCATTTTTTAATCACGTCCATTTACTGCCAAACTTCACAGTCACGTTATAATTACTTACTAAAACTACACTAAGAGATACAATTAATCTATGTAAGTCAGTGAACTTGTTAACGTATAAAAAAGTTAATGATAAACTTGTTATTCGTATTGGTATGCGTGGGGCTTCCATTGACAGCGATTGACCGCTCCGGCAAACCGGTCTGATGGCCCGTTTTTGTTTATATCTTCGATCATTTTATTGTTGAATACCACTAAAATACATACATATACAATACATAGCTACTTAGTATAGGAGCTAACCTAACCTATAAATATTATTTTAGTCCGTCCTAGTAGTCCCTTATTTATTCAGATTAATAAAACTAAGTTTTTTTGTGTAACTGACCTGCACAATATCTATCTGTATTGTTCCTTTTAGCAACGGTATTTATAAATTAATAAAAAATGGATATTGGATTTAGTTATTAAATTAATGACAACATTTATTTTTATATAGTCTTAAATCTATGATATGAAATAAAATATAATACCTATATTATAAAAAAAACGAATAATTCACTAAATATGTTATTAAAAGAAGTCCCTTTAGGAAATAGTTAATAATAGTTATTAAATTATTTTCATTATATAACATTCTTTATAAGATTATTTAGATTAAGATGAATCATATCTTTTTACAATATTAATACGAATTACAATTTCTTTAGTATATACAGTAGCAATTATTCCTCGTAATATAGTTAACAATTTGTGAAAAAATATTAAGCACATAGATGTATCCATCTGAGGTACTTAGGTCGTGTCTATCATTTCGTAATATAGAGGTAGGTTGGAAACACGGAGAAAATCGATACAAGCTCTTAGTCTATGTGAGCGAAGGAGCCCGAATGATCCCCCCTCGGCGCGACGCAGTTATTGACCCGCGCCGCTTCGGATAGAGGAGACATCGCGCCGGCGCGGACGTACCTCATCCGACGTCCTCTAGACTAGACTCAGCCTTGCCTGGGCCCCGCCGCACCATGCCTGCGCCCTGCGACTCGTGCAAAGGTAATTTTTTAATTTTTAATCTTTATTCAATTTAAATTATGTTTAAATTGATTTCGTTGTCCATTTTCAATCATCAACAAGTGATTTTGTTTTTATTATGCCGGTCTTGATACGTGGCTTTTTAGATGACGCAGTTGGTTTTTGTTGTCTAATTAAAGTGTACTTTATTTTATTGCTATTTAATTTGTCAATATTTATTTTTAAGTGACATTAGGGTTATTTTTATCTTAGTTTTTCATATTATGTTTTTTTAAAGAATTTTTTTATTCATTGGAATAACTAGGTGAAAGCTTTTGCTTGTTGCGCAATCGAAAAAAATACCTATATATCTATGATCTTTATTTTCTAGAATTAAAAATAATTTTTTAATGTTTCAGGGACGTGCGGCGGTGGCACCGCTGCCTGTGGCGCGGGCTGCACCTGCGGCCCGAGCTGCACGTGTGGAGATGGCAAGCCTTCTGGTAATTTCCAAGCCTTTCTATTTCCTAATACAACAAATTAAGAACGCAATTCCTAATAAAATAACGTATCAAGATATATTAGGCGTACTTAAATGTACCTTTTTTATAGTGACATATAAAAAATATTTTTGACATTAGCTTATCTGTTACTGTCTGCTTGCGCAATTTAAAAAAATAATGTTTTTATTTTCAGGTGGCAAGCCATGCTGCCAAGGCGGCGGCAAAGAGTAGTTTAAGTTTAAATTCTACGTAGATATAATCTTAAGATTATAATTATTATGATAATCAAAATATGAAGATCTTCATATTTATGTACGTTAATATTTAATCATCTTCTAATATAAAAATATAGCGTATGTTACTCAGTGATAATGTAGCTTTCTAATGACAAAAGTATTTCTGTAATTGCTCGAATAATTTTTGAGTTTATTGGTTACATACAAAAATACAAAACTCTCCTTCTTAGTATAAACGTAACTCATAGATATAAAGTACTCGTAGTGAATATTTATTGAAAAATTCTATATTTTATAAATGTCGTAGCGAAAATGTGTCATGAAATAAAATTTGTTTTAAATTAAGATTAGTAAAAAATGTAATTGGTGTTGTATTAGATGTTAGATTAGGTTTAACTTAAAATTATTTGCTTAGCGGCATTTAAGGTACATATAGTAACTCATTTTATCGCATTCAGTGTTAAGATTTAGGTATATTATTGATAAATGTTCTGTAGTACATATAATACTCATTATTATAAGGATATTTGTATGTGGGCACGCACACACGCATAATTATGTGTAGCGAAGCATTAGGGGTTAAATAAATATAGCCATATACATATATATATTTTTCTTTTAGTAATGATTTCATAAATTTACGCGAATACACATTAATTAAATTACTTTGATTGCTGAAATACTGTTTTATTTCAATTGTTAATACATGTTTTTAGGAAAGAGATGTCTTATCCCTCTATTTTCTATAAATGGATAGGCGATTGCTTGGAAATGATAGATTTTGCTTTGTTCCGATTGAAACGTATCTGTTGATGTTACGTAACATATAATTCTATCACAATTATTAGTTCCAATCCACACCACTGCTACAAACTGCTACCATTAGCAACTAAATGGCGAAAATCAATTAGGCACAAAATACAACGTCTTGTAGCCGGTCCATTTATAGAGGTCGTAGTCTACCCTTTCAATATCTACAGATAAGAAATGTTTCATATTTTTACGAAAATATTTAGAAATTCAATAAAATAAAAAGCTTTGGGCATAGAAATAAAACGAAGATTTACAAAAAAAATGTTTATTTATGCGACATTATGGTATAAGGTTACATAATCTATGGAAGCGACAAATGGGACAGATAATTACCCTATAAATATAGGAATATTAGTTCTTGCCTTAATTTAAAAAAAAAAACAATATTCGTCATTAAACATACGGGACGAATAACTAAAAAAATATATATAAAGCTTAAAATTATAATTAAATTGTATCAGTCCGACATTAACATGCATATTCTATGCCGTAAAATGTTACCAGAATAGAATTTGTACGTGAATGTTGCCATAAAACTAATAAAAAAAAACCCGTTTCATTTCACAAATGATACAACAGGCTTGACATAATAATACAATAAAATTAAATTTCACAATTTAAAAACGTATTATTTTAAAAGTATAAAATTAAAAGTAAACAATTAATACTAAACTATCAAATATTAAAAACAATTTGCAATTTAAACTTAATTCATAAAAGGCAAAACAAAATTAACATTCTTTAGTTTGTGCTAAGCCAACGTATGATTTTTATTTTTATTTCTTTGCCTTTTTTCTTATTCTATATTCTCACACTCAGAGTCGTATCCTAAAGAAGGCCTTTAATGTAGATTTTGTTAAATCAATGGAAATTATTCAACAATGTGACAGAAAATCGGTTAATTAATTTTTTGTTGCTTTGCGAATAATGAAAAAATAAATAAAAAATAGTCATTATTATAGACCCACTAAATATGGCATAAGTCAAACAAAATTATATTAGCTCACTAGCGCCCTTCTCTCAATATCAAAAATGTCAGCCACACTCATAATCTGCAGCTAAGTGAATATTTTACAATAATTAAAGGTCCCCCTTAGTGTAAATTGACTCTGAGAGTGTCTCGTAAACGATAAAACTACTAATATCTCGAAATACAAAGATCAACATTTATCAAAATATGCGAACCTAACACCTTAGGTATATAACTATTGAATAAACTCTTTTATATATTTAAATGAATAAGAACAAGTTGGACATAAATACATACTCTTAAATATCAACAGACATACATTTTTAAAAAATATAATTCTTCAATAACTTCAAAAAATACAATGAACAAAATGCACTTTTAAATCAAAATTATTCATTTATATGGCAACACATAATTATCCTTAAAACAAGTTATATAGCAACACTACACATTTAATACTTACACATTTAACACTGCTTATTATTTATTACTGTGGATTTCCACTGTTTTAAAATATATTGCTATCTTTGTTTTGTTCATAAAGAATGAAAGGGATAGAAATATATTTTGAGTATTTTTGACAGTGGAAATGCACTGTTATATTCATCACACTGATAAATCACAAATTGTTCATCGTTATGCAATAAAATATCAAAGTATCCTTGAAAAGAAACTTTGCCTTATATAAAAAAATGAAATAAACACTATGGCTATTCAAAAAATAACATAAAATTATTATACTGGTATACAAAAAAAGCTAAACAAAAACAATCATGCTCACTTAAACAAGCAAAAATAGTAATCGTATTATACGAAATATGCGTTTCAGAATATAGTTATCTGACCCGGTTGACAAAAGACATACTAAATTATGACAGCACACTAGCGCCCCTCAGTCAATGTCAAACAGTGTGACATAACTCCGTACTGTAGTTGTCATGTCTTAGTTTTTTCTTTTACGCCGGTGTATTTTTTAAATATTTTCCGACAAAAATAACCACGATAACCTCTCCCTGGGCCAGATAACCTTGTTGCGTATCATTGCTTGGAAATGACAGCATTCGCGGTACGAATTCCGACTTAAATACATGTTGAAGTTGCTGACATTAAATTTTATCTTTATTATTAGTTTAATCCTCACCACTGCTACAAAATGGTGAGAATCAAATATAAACAAAAACAACGGTTTATAGCCTGTCTATTTATAGAAATCAGGGTTACCAATACATAAGTTCTGACAGAACTAACCACATCAGCGTTAACTGACGTGAGTTTTGGCGGGAGTTTTGACAGTTGACAGTTTGACAAGTGTCAGTGGTCTATGGCACTGGTTCTTCTTCCGAGCCGTCATCGGAGTCAACAACAGGTGCGCCATTCCTCATCTGTATGACTGACTTCTTCCTGTGTCTGCGCTCTGCACTCTCTCTGTCTACATTCCTGTGGTCAAATTAATACTTTATTATTGAATATGGAAAATCAAGAAATCTTTATGAGCGACTTCCATTAGAGAAACTCGGTCGGGTTCTTTTAGTTGGAGCTAAATATACTTAAATTACACGAAAACAGTGAATTGTGAAATTTCTGCCAATGACAGATAGGTCCAGCAGGTCGCGCGCTGCGCTCAGTGGCTCTCTCTCACACTCACACTGCTCGGGGGATTTAATGATATAACAGACCTGGCAGCAATGAGCGGGAGCAGAGCAGTCTTGAGGCTGGAGAAGAGGTGCGGGTGTCGGCGCTCGTGGCCCGCCAGCAGGTCGCGCGCTGCGCTCAGCGGCTCTCTCTCACACTCACACTGCTCGGGGGATTTAATGATATAACAGACCTGGCAGCAATGAGCGGGAGCAGAGCAGTCTTGAGGCTGGAGAAGAGGTGCGGGTGTCGGCGCTCGTGGCCCGCCAGC